GCTTGTGCTGCGTTGCGACGCAGGCGTGTTGATGTTACTGGCTGTAAGCCTCCCCCATACACGAGGTAGGAAAGGAAATATCCATCCTAACAACCGTAAGCTCTTTGAGAACAAAGAGTATACGAGCGAGAAGGGCGCGAAAAAGATTGCAAGGACCAGCGGAACTTGAGTGCTGACCTGGCTTTCTGGCTGCGGGACGACCCTAGGTGCTGGCTCTATCATTGGTCTCCTTCCACTACTTGTTGACGATCGAGGCGCTCCGAAGCCATTCAACAGTGTTTCTTGCCGCCGGGTATCTCGTGGGGGTTGTTGTGCGGCAGCAACGGCGACGGGATCTTCGGTAGGTTCACCATCAAAGAAGCGTGTTACGGCAATGTTGACGTTCCACTGCGCTCGCTGGAGTAGGGGTATCGCGGCGTCGACGGCTTGATCTGTCACAGCAGTGTATTGCTGAAGTGCGGCTTGTTGGTCTGGCGTGAGTGATCCGATGTCTACGCCGGTATCCGCCATCCTGGCGTCGGCGACCTTCTAACCTGGTCCAAGGCTTGGTTCAAAAATCGCGCTCGTGAGATATGGGAGACGAGTTCCGAGTAGACGGGGTGTGAAATCTGAAAGGACTGTGATGCGGTGGGGTGTATGGCGGGTGAAAGCGTAAGTTTATACGTTGCCTGTTCTTCGCAGCGATGATGTACATTGAGGTGGTCGTAGCTTCAGCCCACCAACTACGTACGGAACCCAAAGGTGAGGCTAGTCCCCAACTCTTGTCACGCAAGGTATTGACAACCCAGGTTATTGATTCGCCCAAGTCACACTGTCGGGCTGATCTAGCCCCGGTTTCTAGTCTGAGTAGTAGATTTGTACCCTACAATGAAATTTTTTTTGTTTATTTTCGTCATGGGTCGCCGTTGCTTCTACCATGGTTCGGAGGTTCAAACTGGCTGTACTGACGTTTGGACCGCCTGTACTAAACAGATCGCAGCATATACAACACGCAATGCAGATTTCTCATGTTGTAGATATCATGAACAGATTACAAAGCTTTCAAATACTAACCTGTTTTGAATGCAAGTAAATTTAGGTATGAAATTCCAATGAACGCCACATCAAATCGGATAGTTGCAGGCAGCCATGGTGGCTGTGAAACAGCCACAGATACACAACGTGGCCATCAAAGCACATACCGAGGTCATCCTCTGTGCAAATAACAAGGGTAACAAGATGCTCTACTTTCTCAATCCGCACTTGTGGCAAAGAAGTCCATTTTGAGGACTTGTTTCCATAGAATGATGCAAAAAGTCGGCTTTCCCGATAGATGCATATACCTTGCCATTGCAGTGATGTACTGGCAATTGAACTTGTAGTTTGCCTGACAATACAATGTGTTTTTGGGGGTCCAAAAAGTTCACGAATGTATCGTGTCATGGGGGTACGATGTGTACTATTCGTATTTCAACAGGAAGGCATTTAAATTTACATGAAATTGGGATTTGATGTGCCAGAATGCAGCTAAAAGACAGGATGCAAACGAGCGACCTGAGTTTTTGCTACTTTGAAAATCCTAGGTGTCAAACTTCACAGTATATAAAAATGTTAATCCTATAAAATCTCAATGTTCACAAAATGAGCACGCCGGGTTGGCGCAGTGGTAACGCGTCGCACTTGTACCATTACAGCTATGCGAAGATCAGCAGTTCAATTCTGCTACTCGGCAACTTTCATTTTGAATGCGGGCATCTTTTCTTTTTGCTTCATCTTGTAAAGAGAGATCAATGGAATGTAAAGAGTGGTTTTTACAAGATAGCATGATTACCATACTTGGTACGCACACAATATATACACATGGAACATATTGCTTCTCTATATTAACCTAACTGTGATCATGAACCGTAGCAAGTGGACATGATGGCAATGCTTAAATAAACAAGTTCATATCATCTGATATCTCTGAACCTGCGCCCTTATCGTCTTGTGGGCCAATCCTAGTTACATTGCGTTTTAGCAGTGATTCGCATCGCTCATAAGCATCAAAGCTTTGCAAATTTGCAAAGTGCATGTCCCGACAGATAAATTACGGAGGTCCGACACATGGAATCAGGCGGTTCCGTACTCAAAAATCGTCGCATTTAGTCTTGTCTCGTACACACATGTCTCTATTTGAAAAAAGAAACAAAAAAAGAGTATGTGTGTATCCAGCTCGAAATCCGCCAAGTGGGAACAGCGGATTGAGCGAGGCAAGAGACCGGGATTTGGTTACTACAAGGAAGGCTTTTGCGCATCGAGAAGCCTTTTTTGTCTTTCGCATTCATGAATTTAATGAATGATGTGTTGAGACACAGTAGGCGCGTTGCGATGCGTGTGTGTGTGTGTGTGCAAAGACACCCCACGGCGGGTGGTGAGGGTTGCCTTTGTAGCTAGAAGGTTGATTGGTAGAAGGGGCAGAGCAGTTTCGCACCGAAAGGTTTTTCTTCATGATTATGTCACGGCGTGGGCTATACCCGGTTCGGCACTAGCTTGTTCCATCCTTTTCTCTGCTAGGCTTCCTCGACACCAGCCACTTCACGCGGCATATTTAGCCATTGCAACCAATGGCATGGCTGCACGGATAGCCGTGCTTTCCACATTCGCTTGAACGCGGGTGCTAGACTCTGGATTGTGCTGCTCGGATTGCGACATGGCTTGCGATAGGTCTGGCATGCTTGATATGGCGCTAGCTTTGAGTTGGCATCCCGTGCATGTTCAAGCCGTGTGTATAATCGAGTGACACATGAGAAATCTGCGAAGCTGATTTGCATCTTGTCCTTTTCATATCCTCCTGCATCCCCCTTCTCAAGGTTGATTGTACATCCTGGTTTTCCACATTCGTCTTCGAGCATGACGGCTCATACTCACAATGCAGCCGCGGAGCACACAGGCGGGCCTCCGGCAACTGGCCAAGACGCAGAGTCAGGCGCAAACACGGCGGTATCGCAGGAGAAAGATTTGGCAATTGGCCTTGTAGGCGAACACGCGCAGGAAATCGACCCAGCAATCGAGGCTAGAGTTTTGAAAAAAGTAGACTGGTTCTTGATACCGGCCATGATAGTCGGTATTTCTCACTGCCGGTAACCTAAGAGCCATCTGAATCGTTTGATTAACCAAAGAGCTTAGGATATGGGCTGGTATACTACGACAAAGCCATCTTAGGCTCCGCAGTCCTCTTCGGTATGACAAAGGACCTCTCACTCAGCATCACAGACACCAGCACGAGGCCGCCGACAATAAACACATCTCGTCTGTCATGGGCGACATCCCTCTTCTACTTTGGCATGCTAGCAGGTCTCTACCCCATGACTTTTGCGCTACAGCGCTTCAACCTCGGCCGCATACTAGGTGGCGTCGTCATGCTCTGGGCCCTGGTCTGTATGCTAACCGCAGCCGTCACCACGTACAAGGGGCTCTATGCGCAGCGCTTCTTTCTCGGTTTCGTAGAGAGCATCATACCCACTGGTTTCATGACTATAATATCTAGCTACTATACGCAGCAGGAACAGGCTATACGACAGAGCTGGTGGTTTAGTTCTACAGGCCTCTTTACGATTATTGGGGGTGCACTCAACTATGGCTTTGCACAGATTACCGCTGGCGACTTGAAACGCTGGCAGTACATCTATCTCTTAGCGGGCTGTTTGACTTTTCTCTTCGGTATCTGGTGCTTTTTTATCCCCAACTCGTGTGCTTCGGCATGGTTTCTCTCGCCTGCAGAGCGTGTTGTAGCTGTCGAGCGGCTCCGCAAAGGCGCGACCGGTGTGCGTTGCCAGAAGATCAAACCTGCTCAGCTCAAGGAAGCAGCACTGGATATTAAACTTTGGCTCGTATTTCTCCTCATGACCTCGGCGTACACGGTTAACGGCGCAGTGTCTGGGTTTGGTCCGCTCATTGTTAGTACATTTGGCTGGTCGACACTCGAATCGATTCTCTGGCAGTTCCCCCTCGGCGGCTTATGCCTCATTACTATCTTGCTGTGCGGATACCTTAGTTCACGGATCCCGAATATCCGCCTCATTTTACTCGTCGTAAACTGCCTCCCTGTCATCGCTGGCTGCGCTATGATTTGGAAAGCAGAATGGACCTACCATGCCGCCACCCCTGTCGCAGGGTACTCCATCATTGGCACTTTTGGCGCCGTCGTCAGCCAGACCATTGTTATTGGCATGTCCAATGTGGCTGGAGCGACTAAAAAGAGCGCCATGGCAGCTGCCATCTTTGTCGCGTATTGTGTGGGGAATATTGTCGGACCGCAGTTGATTGACAGCCGAGAAAAGCCAGCGCATTACCCAAAGCTGTGGAAGGGCTTGATTATTTGGTATGTATACTATTCGGTGCCTCTTTCTCTTTTTGAAACTGATGAGATACGTAGTTACTGCATCACCATTGCTGCAGCTGTAATGCTCTATCTTGTCCTTCAACGCGAAAACAAAAAGAGAGAAAGTATCCCTATCGACGAAGCAGAGCGCGACAAGCTGGCATTCATGGACTTGACTGACAAGGAGAATCCCTACTTTCGATATGTTTTGTAGTCAGGGTTGTGGCGCTTTGATACACCCACCCGGGGATTTCTAGCCTCTTACACCTGGAAACGGCCGGTCCGCTGCTATATCAGCTCGCCCCGTAACACTAAGCTATTAAGAGCGTAGCCTCTATAAGTTTAGTAAGCACTAGATACACCTTTTTCTCCTAGACCAACACCAATTAAACGTAGGAAGGGTTAAAGCTTGAAAAACGTGCCTTTAACTATAGGATTACTTGGATAGTAACACCACAAAGATCATAGTGCTTATATCTTAGATGAAAAAAAAATAGTTTCCTATGCGATATAGAGTAAACAAGCTCAATAACTAGACTACTTCTTATCTCATAAAATATATAAATCTGTGCCTATCCCTAGAAATGTTGACCCTCATCAACTCATTCTATCTCTACACTTCTACACCCAAGCACAACTTTCAATCAACCTTACCACCATGCAGTTCACTACCTCAACCCTCCTTGCTTTCAGCGCCCTACTTGTCACCATTAATGCCGCAACTGTCGTCGGTCCAGCACCAGCAGGACAAACTCACACTACCGTGATCAAGCACCTCGCCTACAGGTGTCCAGCAAAAGCGAATGCTAATCAATGTGCTTCTGCCACGGCAAAACTACGACTCAAGGAAGACAATGGCTGTGACGTACTTGGTACGCTACTTTACGCCTTAACAGCCTTTTATAATAACTAACACCGTTAAGCTTGTACCGTCGCTGCAGCATCTACACTTACTGCCTGTACTGCTGCTGTATCCGAGGGCGGATTAAGTACGATCATCATCGCTCTTAACGTATTCAAGCTAACTTTAATATAGACCCTATCGCTGATCTTGCCTGTATCTTAGCAGGTGGTATTAGTGATGTCGCGTGCAAAGGGTGTGCTTAGATCTATCGTTAAGAACCCAACTATGGGGGTTGAACCGTGTAGCCAAAGAAAAGCAGTACTTGTCATGATTTTGGAATGGTTCTTCATCCAGTCGTTGTAACAAGTAGAAATCAAATAGGAATAGAAGATGTAGATATCAAGAGGGAAATTCGTGCAATTTCGATAGTAAAATCGTCATATACAGCTGCAAACCCAGTCAAGCGGGAACCAAAACTGCGTGACCTGGCCGATGGCTACAATCCAAAAACAGCTCGAATACACAAAAAAGTCCAGTCTAGTCCCGTACAACAACGCCAATAGTAACAGGGACACAGCCTTTCCACCCGCGTGTCACATCCGTGTACTCCCCCTTCATAAAGCCCCGGGGGATATGTAACAATGCTCGCTCGAAAAACAAAAGAACAAGGGAATACAAAAGACGCCGAAATCCAGGGACAAAGAAGATAGACACAACGCCCTTGGTTTCAAACCCCAAAGACCAGTTGGTTCAACAGATTGGGTTCGCTTCGCTGTATGCATCCATTGGAAGCTCAAATATACAGCCGTCGTCGTCGCCGCGCATCCATCGCTTGGCTGACTGTTGCTCCTGACAAAAAGGAAAAGTGAAGGATAGGGTATAGTTGTAACAGGGAGGAGTGCGGACAAGGCATCTTCACGGTACGAGATAACAAAAGAAAAAAGATTGCTGATGCTTCACAGTCATCCATCAACGAAGTGGTCGAGGTCGGGGTCGAACGCCAGCTTCAGTGGCGCTGCGTACTCTGATTGTGGGAGGCCGTATCTCTGGCGCATCGGCCATAGCAGCGTCGTAGCTGGGGACAGGTGGGCTAGTTTCCCTCGGTTGTTGCTGGTTCTGTAGGAGTGGTGCTCGTTCGTCCCAATAACCGTTTTGATGGCTGGCCGTGTTTCGCAGGCTGGGAGAACCGACGGGGCTGGTGTATTCAGGGGGAAGCTCGCCAGGTTGCAGAAGAGTCAGGCCTTGGTTGGCTGGGATTGTCCTTCGATAATCCTCGCTGGTGCCTTCGCCGGGATCATCATCATTCGAGTCTACGAGGCTGAGTGCTGCGAGGGATATGTCTGTCGGACTACGCTGGGGGCCTGGGCTTGTGGGTACCTGTCTTCCAAGACGCATTTGCTGGCTACTAGAACGTGCATGTGCGTAGCCTGCTTGAATATAACTACCAGCCATTCCTTCTCTGACACCTTCCCGCCCAGAGTCTAACAGTATGGATCCTTGTTCGCTGCCATATGGTGGTGGTGGGGCCAAGCTTCCGGTTTGTGGTGCTAAACCCCACTTCTTAACATTGGCTTCAATGAACACGAAGCCCATCTGGCCAAAGTTGACATGGACGTGGCATGGACCATTTGCGCCGACTGTGGGGAAGAAGTTCTGGGTCTTGAGGCCGTGTGCAACGTCATCAAGCCTTTTACCATTGCGCGTGAAGAAGACTGTTCCGGTTCGAGGTCGGTATCCAACACCAATGACATCTCCTTGAACGTAAGCGGGACCGTATGCAGATGGTTGGAATGGCTGGTTGTATCGGCGGTTTCCATTGGACATGTATGATATTGACGATTTATGGTAACCTAAGAGGAGTTAGAATGTAAATGAAAGGATGGAGTGCAGTGGCAGACGTACCTGGGAGCCTAAACAATGGATATGGCTTGGTCGTCACACCAATCGCTATGCTTGTGCTCTCGGGCTTTTCGTAAACCTTGGCTTCCCAGTAGTAGACTTCGTTTTGCTTGGGTATCGGTAGGTTGCTCTGAACGCTGCATTCGGAATCGAAGAACTCAATTTCAGTACGACCTTCTACAAAGCAGTTTGCAATCTCGAGTTCGGGCTCGAATTCCCAAGCGGATACACCCTTTTCTTGAATGGCCAGGAATTGCGAAAGAGAGATATCGGTTTGAACGGATTCGGGCGGGTTTGCTTGAACGAAAGCTATGAAAGTCAGTGCACGTCCATTGCCATTGAGTAATCAAGCAAAGACGCAGTATATCAAACATACCTTTGGCTCTCAGGTACTCTGTTCGCTGCAGATCGTCCATAGACTCGAGCGCCTCGGCCTCTTCTTTGGCAAATTGCTGTTCGTCATCATATTCGCCCGGCCGCGTTATCCGGTCGAGGAAGATGCGGCCTGTTTGCGTGTACCTGAAGTAGTAAACAATGGCGGCGATGATGAGGCATATTCCCGCAGCGCCAAGGACGGAAAAGATGCCGATCATGATTCCCTTTGCCGTGGATCCGAGGCTGTTGTGGGAAGCTGTTGTGTGCGCGACGACATTGTGTTGGACGCGGTGGTGTGCGAAGGGTGTTGGCTGCATGGGTGGGAGATTGTGGCCCGGGTGGTACGACGTGTAGAGCGTCGACGTGGGCCCGTCCGGGTGGAGGGGCTCTTGGGGCAGCATTGCAAGGGGCTGGCGAGATGACTATCACGGGCGGGAGGCGGCGGAAGGTGGGCGACACGATCCAGGCCGTGAAGGAGAGCGCGGCGGCGCTGGTGATGGTGGTGTCGGGCTATCAGCGCTGGCAGTGGATGAAGCAGTGGGGGCCGGGACCAGCTCGGTGACGTGCAGAGACAGAGGCGCAGTGCTGGCGACGCGGCGGGGCGACGATGTGTGGTGATGGAGGCGAGATGGGCGGGTGGCAGCAGTTGCAAGTGTCGTCGGTGTGGAGAGAGGACCAAGGAAAAGACGTCGAGAGGCGGGATGGGATGGCGCCGGCGGGCGGCAGTAGTAGAGGGAGGAGTGGTGAGATGTGCGTGAGACGTCAAGTGCCTGACGCTGCGTTGCCACCTCGTCCACTGCCTGCACACGACACACGCAGGGCCGCGCCTCTCACCAGTCTGCCGATCTAGCCGTCACGCCTTCGCTTGGACTCTTCTAGGCGACTCTGCTGCAACAGCATCAGAACTCCGTCTGCATCTTGCTTTACTCTCCTCAACGCCGTCGCCCCTAGCTCTGCCCTCCATGATTGCCCGTTGGCTGCCCGCCGCCGCCGTCCAGGCCCAGGCCTCGGCCAGAACCAGACTTGCACCCCCAACACCAGCGCCTTGCATGGCCACAACACAATGCTTTGCATCTCTGCATGCTGCCTTTGCCAGCCTGGGTATCGAGCAGCCATGCGCCATGCACACCGGGTCACGTGATTTGTACTCGTCAATCACCATAGCATCGGCGTCTGTCTTGGGCCATGTTTCGCTTGGTGAGAGGCAAAAGCAATCTGACATCGACCCCATGGTTTCAGATGAGGCCAAATGCTAAAATTGGCGTGCAGCTGTAGTCGCCCGTAGGCGCCGCCGGCACACGGTTCGTGAAGGAGCCATTCCACCACTCGCTGCCTAAACGTTATGCAATCGTGAAACATTGACAGTCCAGAGCCGCCTACAAAGGCGCTTCACCATCAAAAACCACGGAGCCCCCACGACAATCCTCTACTGCAACTGCTTTGTTTATCTGCACCGCGAATCTTCTCGATGCCCCCGTCCCGCAATGTCCACCCCGCAATCGAATCGCAATCTGTGCATCAGCCTCGCAAGGCTTGACCTGCCCACCGTTGACGTCAATCATATTTGATGATGTCAGATTGCCTGTGCGCCTGCGACCGCGACCACGTTTATTTTTTCCCCTGCTTCAGATGATGCGATGCGTACAAGGAGTAGCATGTCGTCATCTAGCACTACAGGAACATAGAACTTCTTGCATGCTCTACTCTACCATGTATCTACTGTGGAACCAAGGCGCAACGGTGGATTGCCAGGCGCATGCACGCAGGGACTAAACATATTGCAGATGATGCTTCCCAGGTACCCGATCATACACTGAGTCAGGTCTGTGCAGCCTTGGTCCTACTACTCGCCGTCTGTTCATGCTTCCAAGCAACGAGAACGTGCTTCACATTGGCTTCGTCGCATCATGATGCTTCTCCGCAGAGCCAGCTGGTTTGATAGACGGAACATTCGAATATGTCAAGGCGAGTGCAGCTCACAACGACAGAGGAAAAGGTAGGAAATTGGGTCATGGCAAGAAATGAACAGTGTTGCTAAATATCGCTCCTGGTTAAAAGTACTATGTCGGCGATAGTTGGAATGGTACCCTAAGGATTGATAGTAGATTACCGAGAGGCTCTTGCTCAGCGATAAAGGAGAGCAATTAGACCGAGAGATAACCCAGCCACACATGTGCTTAGAGACTGGATAGGGGACAAACCCGACAGCAATCTAGAGCTGGCAAAACTTCCGCCGAGTCGATGGCACTGCTGCATGCCAACCCAAGTAAGTATAGGCAAGAACTACGGCCAAACTAGTTTGAAGTTCATCCATGACTGCACACCATAGACACGTTCCAGTTGAGTGTTGGGCAAGACTAGCATCCGCCACGGGCTGCAGCTAGTATTTGGTGTGTGAAATATCATGTCCCTATGTCTGTATCAAAGTATACGAGTACATTGGAGACAAGCCAACGAGAGGCGCGACACGAGTGGCTGAAGACATGTGGAGCTCCTTCAGGTTAGGTAGTGGGTTAAAGCCCGCACCTAATAACCGAGGGAGCGTTATTGGTGTACGGTGTAACATGAGGGTCGTCTCTCGAGTGAAGCTATCGATTTGGTAGAGGAAGAGCGACAGCTAGCGAATGCTTGTTTCGGTACTCTAGTATCAGTGTGGGCAAAGACTGCTCTGTAGCGAGTCTGCCTGGGCGGGAGGCAACGGCCAGGCCAAGACATGTGATTTCTCGCAACATGCCACACCCGCAACGCCTGCAATACAGTAGGGTTTGGGAAAAGGTCCGCCAGATGATACAGCGGTATGGCGCGGCAGCAAAATGTACATCTGCACTCGAGTACAGTGATGCAACGTGCATCGAGCCGTGCAACGTGCGGGCTGTCAAAGGCGCTGCCCGGCGTGCGACACCACCAGGGCCATGTGAATGTAGCGGCAGCGAAGAGGCGTGACGGCAGCAGTCTTTTTTCTAGAGCGACAGGCGATGTATGCAGGAGC